AGTAAGGTGCGAAGCAGTTCTAAAAACAAAAATATTGTCTATATTTAAAACTGAGCTGTGGCAACCAGGTCTCCACCCAAAGCTAACCAGGTCTTTGCATTTGTTTGATGCTTTGTGCATAGTAGCCATTTTGCAGGAGGGACCACCATGTTACAAGAGATCATGAGATCAACAAAAGATGAGAACACAGCAGATCAACCCTTGACCTTTGAGAAATAGAGAGAGGTAGAGAGAATAAAGAATCAGCCAATCAAAGAGTGGGAGGGATTAAAACGATAGAGCCCAACCCTATGCACCTCTCACAAGCTGCCATGGCCTGCCCCTAGCAGCTGATGTCACTCGCTTTTTTGCGCATCTTGGTTCCCCAAAGCAGCAGGGGGTCATGCCCCTGGTGTCAATTTCAGTTGGGCAAACTCCATCCAAGCACATGATATTGTTGCCCACATGGCATCAATACCTTTTGAATTTGAAACATGGTTTTACCCCACAGGAGGTGTTGCCCATATTTGACGTTGCTCTTGACGTCAGCTAGTAAGCTTCAACCGGTCACACTCTTGCCTGGCCATACTTCTTGCCAGTGAGCCGTCACCATGTGCAGACATTTGCTGTCGGTACACACGGCTGTAGACACGGTTCCTGGTTGCAGGCATGTAGCCATCCTTGGAAAGCAAAGTGCTTGAAAAACAATGTTTCTACAGGCTTATGTACCATGAGGACATTGGCTCTACCTTGGGTCCATTCAAGGCATTGAAAAGCTATGAAAATTCTTGTGGACAAACATGGAAACATCATCATAGCAGAACCGGATAGAAATTCCCCAGATGCTTTGAGAGTGAACCAGAAGTCACAGGTTGAAAAAGGATGCAAGCCATTCTCTCCCAAGTAGCATCACCCTTCTCTTCCTTTTCCTTCTTGTTTTGCTTCGCTTTTGCCTTTCCTTTCGGAGATGCCTTCTTTGCTTGACTCTTTGTAGCTGCTTTGGCCTGTGCCTTTGGCTTAGCCTTTGCTGTTGCACCCAACGACAAAGAAGCTCTGGGAGCTTTCTCCTCCAAGGAGGGGTCATTGTATTGACATGACTAGCCACCAGTGAATTAACTAACACCTGAAGGGATTTTTTCACAAATTGCTTTGCCCAGGAATTTAAAAGCCAAATTTAAAAGCCAGTCTTCATGAGCACCAGCCATGGCTTTCTTAGGGGCTTCCTCCTCCTCTTGGCCCAGAGCTGCATCCTGTACCATGACCACAGCAGCTGCCCCCTCACGCCATGCATCAGCTCCCTGGCCAATCTCCTCCACCGTGTTAGTCTCCTTGGGCCCATCAGCTGGCCCCTCATTCTCCTCCTCCTTGTCATTCACACTGGCCACATCACCTCCCTGGCCATTCTCCTCCCGCTTGCTAGTCCTGTCAGCTGCCCCCTCATTCTCCTCCTCATTCACAACCTCATCTCCCATCTGCAGTACCATGGCCTCATCAACTCCCTCTTCAGGATCCTCCATGGTTGTTGAAAGGCACCACAGTATCAAAAGTTGAAACCTGCAGCCTGCAGTACTTAACACAATTCTAAAACCATCCCATCCCCTCTTTTAGTTGAACAACAATCATTGTCCTCGTGACAGTCATTGAGGCAAAGGGTCTTTTGTGAATCTGGGGAGCCGTCCATCTCAAAGTCCCTGGCAGTAAACAAAGTGCCATTTGCAAACATTTCCTGGGTCATGAAGGCATCTTGGACTTCATCATGTCCAATAGACTCAGCGTTCGTGGTGGTGATGTAGGAGTCAATGAGCTTCCCCAGCTTCTTCACAGTCTCCTCCCCCCAAGAGTTGGATAGAACATTGAAACTGACACCATGTCCTTTATGTTTTTGAACATTCATGTAACAAACACAAGCATGTCCTTCTTGGGATAGGAATTGGTCACGGCCAGCTGACCACCAAGAGCTCCATCAAACATTGCACTAAAATCAATGCTCTTTGAAGCAACCTGAGATGAAAGAGAAACAAAGAAAAGATCTGAATCTGAGGATAAACAAACAAAGACAAACAAAGAAAAGACAGACAAACAAAGAAACCCATTCAAAAGATCTGAGGATAGTCACCTGCTAGACAACAAGTTGCCAATGAAACTAACAAGCCACAGCGCTGCTGGTGTCAGACAATTTGGCATCCACAAAGCTTGAGGAACGTTGGAACGTGTCGCCGATGATCTCGATGGATGGAGAGGCATCCCTGCCATCACTGTCAATGTCCGTGTCACCATCACCCTGGTTAATGGCCCTGCGCTTGCCACCACGGTCTTTCTTCTTGGGTTTCTCCTTTTGGGGATACACGGCACTTCAAATTTACAAGGTGTTTTTTTATAAGGTAGCAGGATGAGTTCTGTTACAGGAACATTAGATACAAAGCATGCATTCTTGGTTGAAGAGGGGACTCTTGACAGGCACTCTGGACCACTCCAGTGTCAAATCCAAAACCAACCAAGAGGAAGGGGTCATTGGTCATGAAGTTGCCCTTGGCCATGACACTTGGTAGCAGTCCTTCGATTCCTTGGTCTTTTTGCTTTTCTTTCCTGAATCTCCATCATCCTTTTTGCTGCCTCTCTTTTTCCGTTTCTTACCTCCTTCTCCTTCTCCACCTCCTTCCTCTTGGTCTGGCTCATCCTCATCGTCATCATCATAGCGGAAGTCATCAAACAACCCATCATACTCATCGGTCTTGGCCTTTTTGCTCGCAGGTCTCCTGAAAGGCCCTTTGGCTTCTTCTTCCTCATCACCATCATTCTTTTTCTTTGCATTCTTTCTTGGCCGTTCCTCAGCTTCCACCCTCTTGCCTTTTGCTTCCTTCTTCTTGTTTTCTTCACTGGCTTTTTCCTCAGAGGTCTTTTCCTCTGAAGAACTTCCCATCTCACAGCGCTGGAGCAGAGACACTGTAGGACCTGTAGCAGGTTTCTGAAGAGAAGGCACCACTTTCCCCTATAACTCTTGGAACAACATTTGGAACCATCCACAACAGGCTAAAAACATTTACTTTAGGACAAAATTTGGAACCATCCTGATATGAGCCAAAGTACGGCTAGAAGTGTGGCTAGTCACTTTAGCTTTTGCCTTCGGTGTACTCTGAGAAGTCTGAGAAGCTTTTGGCACTGGGTTTGTCAACAGCGACTGGTAGCTTCCGATGTCAAACTCAGGTATCACCATTGCAGCGCCAGCGGAACCCTGCCCGCCAAGGCCAGCCCTGGATGGGGTGGACATGACTCACAGACAGCAACCTGGAAATCGATTTGGTACCCCTGAGCCAGAAACACATGGGGGATACACAAAACCATGTGATCACAGCCACAATGATGGAAACATTATGCATACAAGAATCAGGAAGAGTTGCCTTGGTTTGACACTCTTGTTGGGACGGTTGACACGTTTCTAAAAGCAAAGGGCATTGTAAAGCCCTCCAAACCAAGCTTTGGTCACTTGGTCACCCAATTGCACTGCTGACAGTGCAAAACCAGTAGAATAGATGGCCTTAGGCCAAGCTGGTGATAGCACCAGCCAACGCCCATAGATTCTATGCCTATCGGAATCTCCCAAATGAAGAAACAGCTAGAGTGTTTCCAAACGATGCAAACAAATACTGTGAGTAGGTTCCCAACTAGGTTCAACCAATGGTTAAGAGTTTGTTCAGGGAGCCCATCAATGGTTGACAGAAGGAGATCTCCAGGCACTCAGATCAGCTGGTACATATCCTCCATCTTACCTTCAAAAGAGGTGGCCAACATAGCCACAGGCCGGATGGGCACGAGATCCAAGCCGCTGCCACTTTGGTGTGGCTGAACCCTGGCGCCAAAGGGGGCAGGATTGGGATGTTTGGGATGATCGGTGGGAGGTCATCGCATAATGCTCATTATTTCTTGTTTGAATGGATCAACATTGGTCTTCACTAGAGAGTGACTACCAAGATCTTGACCCAAGCTAGTGTGGAATCTGAAAAATGGGTCTGGGTCAAACTTGCCTATAAATCCAAACTTTCATTTTGCTTACTACCTATTTTTGGGCTGCTTCCCAACAGTTTTGAAAGCTCAAGCATGGGCCTCATCCTCCAAGAAATCTTCAAATTCTCAGAAGTGCGGAGCTTTGTCAAAACCATTTTGGCACCAAAGGTAGTTGCTGATGCTGAAGCCTGAACATGGGGAATGTATGATTGTCAAGGGGGTTGCATTCTGTCAATAATGGATCTTGGAAATCCTTTTTGGTAGCCTGGTTAATGGTAAGCGTTCTTCACATTTTTGTCCAGCAATGAGACATCCTAAATTATCAATACATAACAGCATGAGAAGCACAAATATCAATATCATGTTTGTGACAACATGGCATTTGGGACATACACGCAATGTAAATAATAGTTGTTCTTCATTTGTGTCCCCAAGCTCACCTTCTTCTTTTTGTTCTCCTTGGGCTGGTCCAACACGAAGCACACCTTTTTCTGTGAGCATATGGACATCTCACTCGACCCATCCTTCTTGTCCAAAGAGTGCATTGACACCTTCACATTCACTTCTCCTGCATTTTCAAGCTGGCTGATGGCATCCCGGTAGGTCAGAACCTGCAATACAAAATGAAGCAAACCCAGCTGATGATAGTGGAGAGTGAGCCCTGTAAACCCTAACAACAAAAACAAGAGCAAAACTATCAGCATGTTAGGGCCAGTAGCCTTGTTAAACATGTCCAGGGATCGAATGTGTTGAGGGAGCCGGCGATCAGCTTTCAAAATGCAAAGCTCAGAGGGTAGGGAGATTTTGAAGGCAATCCACCTGCCAGTCACATCGCTTTGGACATCGCTAGCTTCAGGGCCTTCCACGAAGTCTCCTGATCCAAAGCCAAATACTTCAAGGGGCCCCTTCACCTCAAAGGTCTCCTTCTTCTTGCTGTCATTCCCGCAGATCCATAGATTGTCTTCCTTGCAGTCATAGACAAAGCGGACATTTCCACAAGCAAGAACCAGCCTCAGGGCAACTGACACAGCAGAATCAGACTCATGACAGTCATTAAACCACAATATTTGGGAAACCAGCCAAACAGCAACAAGATGCAACAATGAAGAAACCTATGTCTGTAAAACTGCAAAGGATAACATCCAAGGAACTTGTCAGCAATTGTCCCCTCATGGTCAGCAACCTTGACGCAATTGTCAATGCGCATCTTCTTGGAACCATTGTTGGTAGCAGTGCCACCTCAAGAAGCCACAAGAGCAACACACCATCACTACCCTTGTCTCCCCAAGTAGAAGAACAATCCAATCCAATGACACACCCACATGCCACCCACCTCAAAATTGAATGCTAATTTTAAAGATCTAAGTCACCTTCTCCCTCTGGCCCAGCAGTGTCAGATGCCCCACGCTTGATGCCATGTGGATTGTACTTCTTGTTGTGGGCTTCCAGCAATTCAGCCATGGGCACCTGGAATGTGTCAATGGCTGTCCAGTAATCCACCAAGTTCTGCTTGATGGCCAACCCATTCGGAACTGGCACGCACACTTGGAAGTCTGGGACAGGTGGTTCATGGGCATTGTTCTTCAAATCAGCAACCACGCTTTCAAAGGATGGGAAACCTGGCAGCTTGAGGGAACCGCTTCTGCACAACGAGTAGGTCTTCTGACCAATCACAGATGCACAGTAGGCAGTGTCACTTTGGCTGTGGCAGGATGTTGAGCAGGCCCATACATTTCCTGGATATATCAAGCAGCCAAAAAGCACAGACTACTACCCACTTAAAACCAAACTTAATGCGTGTCACTCTTTTCAACTGCCATTTCAAAGCAAAGAGTCAGGATGTGTGTCAAAACATAACAACACTTCAGTGCAACTTGCAACCCTTCCCAAGTCCTGCTGCACACTGTGTCACTGTCCCCCGTGTTGAGGAGCGCAGATGTGACCTTCTCCACAATGCTCATGCCAGCCAGGTGCTGCAGGGTGGCAAAGGCTCAAACAGGTTGAGGGCACTTGGTTCAGAGGGACAACAACAACTTGGTCAAATTGAAAGTTTGGCCCTAAAGTATGAACTCAGACTTGATTTCAATCCTTGTGCCTGCTTGAGCTCCTGTACCCGGGTCAGGCGAGTATCGGTTGCAAATTTGCCATTGCCCCTCTCCACCTTGAGCATTTCACTCCTGGGAGGCTGTGGGGGGCCAGAACCCCTTACCCTTAGACATATGTCTAAACACGGCCAATAGATACATAAAAATAATGTAAATAAAGCTAGGGAGCCGTGGTAGCATTGACACTCCAGATACCACACCAGACTTGTAGAGGGGAGACTTCAGGAAGTGGTTTGCCTTGTCCTTGCTGGTGACCATGAGGGCAGAGTGGTACCCCTCCCGGGTTCCATAGACCGTTGTAGGCTCAAAGAAGATGGAAACTGGAAAGCCTTCAACAGAGTTAAACGCATTTGGGCCAATGCTTAAACCATCTTAAACCAGCAGAATCTGTCCAAAAGTTATATATATGCTTTTTGGTTACAGTAATTGCCTGGCCTTGAGATCCCTTTGAGACTCCATGAAAGAACATTGCAGCTTGTAGCGGAAGTCCCTCAGGATTGCATCAGAAGAAGTGTTGGCTGATGGATCCTCCTCCATGTCTGCATCACTTCCTGCAGGGTGTTTTGCTAAACAATGTTAGATAAACATTGACATGAAGAACACTGAGTTTGGCCACAAAAGGTTTTGGTCACCACACACAGTCCTTCATCATGTTTCTTCGTTGGGTGTGAATCCTCCTCTTCTTTTTCTTCCTCAGGCTCCTCCTTCTCTTCTTTCCTCAGCAAATGAACAGGGTATGGAAACATGCAAGGTATGGAAACTATAGTTCTTCAGGTTGGTGCCCAGGCTAAAGTTATCTAAAGACAAAAAGCAAAATTACAAGCCTAAAACTAAATTCAAGTTGCCGGGGAGAGCTTCTCAAATCTGCGGCCCTGTTGGGCAAAAGCACAAAAGCAACCGCTGTCCTGGGGAAACCATGCAAAATCTGCTGCACTTGCTCCAAGGTGAAGAGAATCTTCTTGGCAGGAACCACACCAGCAGCAGCATAGTTTATCCAGAGAACAATGCGTTCCTGGTTGGGGCGACGGATCCCATCACCATGAGCAGTAAGGGTCGCTTGGAGCCAGGGCTCATTCTTGGCTGAAAAGGTTGAAGCATCTGCCTCACCATCCACTCCTGGAAATTGGAACTAGGTTTGATAGGCAGGGATTGGCTTGAACCAAGTACAACTGATTTGATTTGAAAATTGCTTTTATACCTTAGAGGCTTGCTTGAAGCTTCTTGAGAAACAAAACAGAACTCTGTTTCCATTTTGTCCTTGTGCAGACTTGGGCAATGACACATCCCATACAGGAACCACCTCTTGGGCAAAGTCATTCACCAGCTTCCATGCAGTGACATGCATTTTCTGGCAGGGTTTGCAGTTGTTCTTCCATGTCAATTATAGATAGCACCAAAGAAAAGAACTCAAACTTAATGAATACGCTGGTCACCAGAATTTCCCTTTTTGCTTTCACCACATCCCAGCTATGTGTTGTAGATGTTGAGGGCTAAGGTATGAAAGCACTATGAAGTCATTTCCATGTCACTTGGACAAGCACCTTGAACGCTCACTCACAGTATCCCATGGTTGATCCCATAGGGGCGCATAGTGTTCAAGGTAGAAAAAGTTAATGGCATTCTTCCAAAGAATTCCTGTGGCACCCATGGACCACATAATATGTTTCATGTGACACCTGTGAATTTGAGCTTGGACAGTCCAAAGATCTTTGAATGGATTGAAGCCCAGCCTCCAAGCTGTGAACTAGGACAGAACGGGCCCTGCATGAGTTCATCTCAGCCGTCGCCAGGAACTTATCTTGCAAGCACTGGTCATTTGCAACGTTGGTCAGTAGGAGGTTGAAGGCTGCTCGCAGCGAAGACTTCCTAGCGTCATTGACAGAAGATTGGGCAGAGATCACATGCTCCTCTTGCTGCTTGCCGCATGCCTCCATCACAAACCCCATCTTCTTGTAATCGAAGTTGGGGTCCAAACCCCTCCTTGGACACACAGTGATGAATAATAAGGGAAACTGCAATTTGGTGGGCCCAATTCCATAAAACAGGAGTACCTTACCAAAACCCCATGGGTCACCCATTCCCTGAATTGACTCACACCACCAGGACCAGCATGTAAGCCAAGAATCACTTGAACTCGCAGCTCTGTGTCCAAGGCCCTTGGCTTGTTGGTTGGTGGCCGGATCTTGGCACTTGGGATTGGGACCCCAAGCTGGTGTCTGGAAGGGATGCAAAGTCATGAAATCCATTAGGGAGTTTGGGGCTTGGGATGTCCGAATTTGAGTTTTTGTACAATGGACATTCTATCACCCCACAATGAATGGCCACGCCATAAGGAATTGATGAACATAAGTCTTCATGAACAACCTTGCATGATTTAATCCAGATCCAGTAATTAATTGTGTTGACCTTTTTGTGGTAAACAAGTTGTATGATTGGCTTGGGCATGACTGGGGGCATACGGTACACCCTATGATTTATACTCCTGTCCAACGTTCTCAACTTGGAAACACAAAATTCCAGTGGAGGTGAACCACAAAATTCCAACTCTGGAACAAACCAAAGGGTGACATGGTTTGTTCCAGTCCCATGGCCAAGTGTCATGGTTTGTTCGTGTTCCATGGCAGAGCATGGTTTGTTCCTGTTCCATGGCAGAGTGACATGGTTTGTTCCTGTTCCATGGCAGAGTGACGTGGTTTGTTCCTGTTCCATGGCAGAGTGACGTGGTTTGTTCCGGTTGCATGGCAGAGTGACGTGGTTTGCTTGACCAAGTTTGTTCCAGTGACGTGGTTTGCCCTTCTCAAACCCTGTGAATGACGCGGTTTGTATTTTCATCTTCCAGTGAGTGATTCGCTTTTTTAAAACCACATCACTCCCCCAGAGAATCCCCAAAATCTGATTTTGAACATTTCCCACCAAACAGATCTAATTCATGCACTGTCCCCTCTGAGATTTCAAGCCCCAAAAGTGATTCGGAAAAATTTTTTCCACATCACAAATTCTTGCATATGGAGGATTCCAGAAACTCTGGCACCCTAAAATCAGGACCTTCAAAAATCACTTATATATGCCAGACAGATTGATTTGTGATGCGGAAAAATAAAACCACATCACTCTGACAGCTGAAAATTGGACTCCCAAAAGTACATCCTTTTCATTTTGCCAGCCAAGGTTCCCAATTTTCCACTGCTCAAGAATGCTGTCCAGCAGTGGGCCTGTGCCCAGGTAAGCCTGGAGCTGTGGCCAAATGTGGACCATCAAGCAGCAAACCTTGAGCAAGTCCACCATTGCTGCTTGGTCACGCTGAGCCAGCTTCTGGCAGGGGGAGTCGTGTGGTCATAGAGTCTTATTTGCTATTGGTCCTGACCCTAACTTTTGACAATCCATTCTTACAGAATAAACCATGTTTTTGTTCCGTCCTTTTGCTTGGCTGGTGCATTCTTGCCAACCCTCTGTCGGCCATTGCCCGGTCAGCCCAGAGCTCCACTGCTTCAGCCGTAACAGTCTGGAGACAGGGCACACAAGCCAGGGTGATACCAATGGATTTTTCTATTGTTGAACCCTTAGGACATTTGAGACAAATCCATAACGTTTGGAACACATTGAGACAAACCCTGCCTGAATATCCTGCCAAATCTTTGGCCCATTTTCCAAGAGCTCTGTTCCTGGAACAAAGTAGTCTCCATCCATGTTCTCCATCGTCAAGGCTGCAGGGCAATGGGATGACCATGAACTTGAATTGTTTTTAGTCTATAAAACAACTTCCAGGTCTTTACTGCTGTTTCATTTCCCAGGGTTGCAAAATAACACATGGCCTGCTTGTTCTGGCTTGGACTCATTGTAGCATGCCTTCAAGGCCTCCCATAGCGCTGTTGGGCAGCGAAGCAAATTGTAGATAAGCCGCCTGGTAGTGTCAGCCACCCGCCAACCCTGAGTTGCAATAAGTGAGACACTGCAAACCACAAACTTCAAAAAATGAAGCTTGGTATTTTTATTATGTATACGCTATTATATGATCCATAATGTGTCATGTGTGCTATCTTTAAAACAAAGCCAGGGGGCACGATGATTTCCAACCATCTTGTTGTAGTCAGCAATGCAACCATATAGTACATCACGGAGTGCTGCTTTTCGAGTTCCAGGGGCAGTCTGCTTGAGCCGCACTGACTCCTTGAAAAGGAGCATCATATCCAAGGCGCTGGGCTTTGTCTTCTCAGCAGTCCGATTGGCAAGGCCTGAGCTCAGGGATGGGTTGTGTTGGAAACTTGTGGCTAGTATGTCATGGTTCCACTAGTTTTGAGGGGGACAACTGTTTAGGAATTGAATAAAGTCAAATCAATTTCCATGGTAAATGGAAGCCAAATGGCAAAGGGTTTCATAAAGGAAATCTTCTGCTTTGGCATGCCTCTGGTAATTGCACTTCACATACCGGAATGAGGCCAAGGTCTTGGCCATCTGGTCATCCTCCACCAGCAGCTCTTCAGAAATCTCCTCAGCACCGGGTCCAGTACTTAGGGACAGCCACTAAAAGTGAAAGGCAACATCCAATACTCATAGAAAAACTCTGGAACAAATCATTGATGAGGATCCATTTCCATTGCCAATGCAAGGATGCTGAGCATTATGATGGCTTTGTTCTGGCCATCAACATATTGCGCTGAGAAGCGGTCAATTGCAAAGACGGGATTGGTGGTTTCCACCGCTGTGTTGGAAAACTTGATATCTAGACACTCCCGGTGGCTCTGGAAGCCATGCTCCAAGAAGGAGCCAAAGTGAGCCTTGTAGGCATGTGTAGCAGGCCATCGACCTACTTCTCCATACTTTGCATCCTCCCTGAAGGACAAATCCCAAATGTCCAAGTAGAGGCCCTTCATGGATGTCATTGGCACATGGGTCACAGGTTTGACGTGCTCAATGTGTTTTTTGACGCTGTCCATAGCAAAGATCTGAATCATAGCCTTATGGCTGCAAGGACCCAAACAGGAGGCAACATGGTTTCAATGTTTTGGGCAACCATGAAGTACTTAATGTTTGGTTGAACACTAGCCAAGAAACTGATTTGAACTCATCCATGCCAGCATCACTTCCATACTTATCCCAAAGCCACTTCCCCATGTTGCAACTCGCAGTGATCTGCAGGGCACCAGGTTGGAAGGAGTAGACTTTACTGTACACTCAACACATGTTTACAAAAGGAAACTCCAGCCTCTTCCATTTTTGATGTCAGCACATTCTTGATGGAATACTCAGTATCGGGTTCTACTGCCTGAATGGAAGGTGTGAGACCATACAAAACATGAACCAAGGGTTGGCAATTTGGAAAACATCAAAAGGACAACTATGACGCCTTTGTGCCAGCTTCTTCTTTCACATCCACCGTGGCTACAGGCACCAAACGTGTTCTGCAACTCTTGAGAAAACAGACTTGGGAGAATGACTTTCCACATGAACACGCAGCACCAGCTTGTCACATTCAAGTGAAATAGGCAAACTATTGTTCCACTGATGCCCGCTCAGTGATAACGATGAAAGGTTACCCTCATGGTATGGAGTGTGTGAATCTCGGGATTTCCAAGAAGCACTGCACCCCGCTGAACCCTAGCAATATTCAGTAGCAGGAACTCAATCCTGCAGGGAGGCACACGTGGCATGGCAACCTGGCCAGCCAACATACGAAGGTATTGCACACCACGGCTATAGTGGTGGTAGTTGGATTCAAGATATTCGGCCAGCTCAAGTAGAACTTCTTTGCGATCATCATCTAGATAGGTTGCCACCCCTGAAAGGCCCAAGGAGGGGCAATTAAAAAGAAACATCCGAATTGTTGCAACCATTGGCTGACAAACACCATGCCTGGAACTTGGTTTGAGGCAATCCTACGCAAGGCAGCATTGCTCTCATCCACAGTCTTCCCAGGCCAGACTGCCAAGATTGGCTGTGACAGGGTGACGTCAGAGATGAAGCCCTTCACCATTAAGAAAACCAAAGCGAGGAGGGATGCGGTTTGGACAAGTTGCCAGTAGGTGCTGTGGTAAGCCTTTGCTCACAGTCAAATAGAAGCAATGGTCAAAAGATAATATATAACAGTACATGGAAACAGAGTTGAGTCAAACTAAAACCTGAACATTTGTTTGGAGCCAGGGAACAATCCCTCCTTGCAAACACAAAACTGTGGGGTATGCCATTGAAGTCTTTGTGCAGCTTCCGTTTCCGGTATGCCCCTGATAAAGTCGAGAACCTTTCCAAAGAATCTGTCCAGTTTCGAATGCTCGTGATGTATTCAGCATGGAAGTCCAACCCAGCACGTGCAAAGCCAGACTGCAACCGTTGCTTCAGCCACCTGAGCCACAGGTGTGACAAGGAATGGTGCCACTGAACTGCAGCAATTGCAACTTTGGTCATTGATGCTTGGCCAAACTAAGTGGAGTGCACAACAATGTCATCAGGTGTTTGCCTGGGATGCACTTGACATTTGGGTTAAAGGCAGGTAGAACAAACCAAACATCCAAACTTTGGACAAGTTCAGTTGAGCTACATCGTTTCATCCGCTTGACGGATCAACTTTGATACCATTCCAAAGAAGGCATCTTAGCAGCATGGCAATGTAAAATATGTTGAACCATCAGTGGGAATGCTTGGCAAACTCATCTTGCAATGCTTCTGAGTCAAGTACCGACATCCTGATGTGTATGCCCTACTGGCATGTGCTCATGGCCAACAGAGGTAAAGTGCTTTGTGGTTACCAGATGGCAGCAGTAGCGGCCCAGGTGGCTATTGCGATACTCCTGACAGTGACATGGCAACCCACATGTTACTTTGAAGGAAAAGGGCATGGGGGTTGTTGGGGTTGGAGAAACATACACAAATGAACGGTTTGAAGGCTTGTCCAAGCATCCTTTGGAGTATTGTCAGTGAATATTCGGAGGTGATCTGGCCAGGGTACATTGTTCTGCTGGCATCTAGCAAAAGTCTTGTCCAAACTCAAAGATAAGACCTCGAGGCTCCAGTCAGATCCTGTGGCTTGTTCAGAATCAGTCACAAAAACCATCACTGCGTGGCCATGCATGAGGCATGCAGTGAACTCCAACTCTGGTCTTCTCTTGGTCTCCAAAGGTTTGGGTGTTCTCCCAGCTGCAAACCTAGGTAAGCGGAACTTGGATTTGTCCATGCTGTCCACAATGCAGACCAAGCAATCCCTTTGCTGCCTGGCCCGGTTTTTCAATTGGGCATAAACCTGGCGGTCAGCAAACACACCACCCAGGTGACGCATGTAGCGGTCACAGGAAGCTGCATGGTCATTGATCCCCCTGGCATTGCGGACGCCACTCTTGAGCTTGTGGCATACCCAACATTGGGCATGTGTTGATTCTGCTCTGAATTTGATTTTCCGTTTCCATCCAGATTGTCTCAAGACCCGAAAGAAAGTGGTTGCTGATGCTATAGGCTGCTGTTGTGCAAAGCACTCTGCCTGATATAGCCTATAGAGGTCTGAATAGGTACCAGGAGGTAGGAACCTTCGGGGCAAAGTTGCAGGATCATGGTCCCCAATCCCCACATCCATCTCAAAAGAGTTGGTCATCAAGGCGTCAAGAAGTTGTTTGCGACCAGCTTCTGTAGATGCCCATTGCTCTCTGGGGTTGAAGTGCATCCTCAAGTTCCCAAATCTCAGACCCCCAAATGTGGCACTTTAAGCTCTAGGAAACATATGAAAAAGGGTTTCCAGAAAGCAAAGCTTCAATAATAACACCCAGCCAAACAAAACAAACATAAAGTATATTCTATATTGTTTGGGACATTTTGGGACCAAGGTTCCAACACTTCTACCATCTGTTCCTCTAAAGTTCCGTTTGCAGCGCATCAGCCTCTCTCGGCCAATGCCAAGGATGTGGAGCCAGGCTTGGCGGCAAACCTGGACACCTGGGCGATCCAGAAGAGTGACTGGGCTATTCAGTACAAGGGGACCCCACTTTAGCTGTAACAATCAAGCCACCTTGAATAAACCAAGAATTTCTGCAGACAGTGTCTGAAGATGTGGAAGAAGAAGATGATGCAGATCCATATGATGAAGATTCATCTTCAAGATCTTCTGACTCTGAAGGGTCACCATCATCCATCATGACGGATGGATTCTGCAGGCTCCAAAGCCTAGTCTCACGCTTTTTGGAAAGAAAGGGGGTTATTGCTACATCAAACACTAGTTCCCATATGAACTTTTCCAAAGGTATGGCAAAGGACGGCAAGGGACAATGAGTCCTGCGAGGTTTTGCTCAAGGACCAGAATGCAACAACCAAAGTCATCACTGCCTTCAGAACCAAATGCCGCTTGCAATTCCCCTTGCAACACGGCTTCTTCAATGCCTGCTCTACACGCGCAAGAGATTTGCCATTCTCTTGGTAGGTGCTGCTGCCACCTGTTTTGGAGCATGTGGGATTGGACACTAATTCAGTTGTGGGATTGGACACGTGGAATGGAATGAATGTTCTGTGGTTGAAACTGCAATGAAACATGGACAAGACACCATCCGCATCCAGCTCCAAGGATTGCAGCTGATTCCAGGAAAGATTGCGCATCGATTCCACCATTGGTTTTGGCCTCTTGGCTGCAGGCTCGATGGAAACGTCAGACTGCGCCTCTGAAGTGCCATCATCACTGTAGCTCTCATAGTCTGAGGATGATGAGGCACTAAACCGCTGCAGTGCCATGGGTCACGTTCAGCTGGCTGAAAATTGTGTTTTTTTGGGGGTATTATTCCAATTTCATATTGTAAACACTCAATGATTTCCCAAAGATTCTCAACACATAGTAGGTGGACATTGTCTTTGAGATGATAACCACAAAACCTTTGAGATTGCAAGCAGGTGAGTTGACTGCTTGACACATACATACATGGCGTACAAGAAAAAACAACATAGTGGTTCTCCATTTTCCCACCTTTTTCCAAGTCTCAAGTCTCAGGCTTAGAACCATGGGTCCCTTGGCAGAGGCATCCGGTCTGACTCTGTCACCCCATGTTGGTTCCATGCATCAATGTTGAGCGTGCTCAGGCCACAGAGCCACGCAGCTGTAGCAGCTCGTATGTTCATTGCGTTGCCAGCCAAGTCCTCCAGTTCCTTGACACCCAACGCTGGACTAAAGGTACAAGATTCAGAAGCTCTAAGTAGAGGACAAAAGAAGTTCAGGAAAACTAATCATGATTCATCTAAGGCTCACGTCGTGTCAGGTGGCAAATATTCAAATTTACCATGGGGAAGGACTGAAACAGCAACTTCTCCACATCTGCCAGGGGCAAACATGTACAGTATATTTTTTTGTACAGTAGGACTTCCCAACTTCCCCCACACATGTAACAGAACTTGACAAACCCAGGCCTAGTAGGTAGCGATTTTGTCCAATGTGGAAAAACTCACCACGGGGGGTGATGCATGGAACGTGCTGACAGTGTCCCATCCTGTCCACACTTTGCGATAAATTGATGAATCCAGTCAAGCCCTTCACCTTGAAGATTGCCAGTGCCTTTGGGCCAAAAAACAAACAAATGCCCAAACTTTGACTGGGCAAGTGGCACTGCCAAGTTGCATGTCGCTGCCTGGCATTGCTTACATGGTCCGTATCTTCTTGCTGAAGGCGCCGGACAACTTCAGCTGGGTCCACCTGGCAAACACGCGGGTGCCACAGGATGTTGCCACACTTGGTTCAACACCCCCACTACCAGACTGTTTGAACATATATAATATATGTTGTTTGCAAACCCAGCCTGTAGAATTTCCATCAGCTTCCAATGCTTCCATGGCCATCGCGGCTTTGGATTCTCAGGCCTTCAGCTAGTTAGGTATTGGGGCTCAAAAAGATGATTGAAAACTCCATTAGAAAAAAATAAAACTAAAACATTCTTGCTTGACAAACAAGCAGCGGCTTTGAGAGGTCAAGGCCACAGGTTTGCTTTGCCATGGATCGCCTTCTTGCCAAATCCAGTTGAACCAGCTCATGATCTTTTGCAAACATCAGTCTTTGCGTAGGCGTGGCAAAAAGGTTTTTGCCACCAAAAGGGCATTAGAAGTTTAAGCACTCCAAATCTTACCAAAATACATTAAAACCATTAAGCATTCCAATTCTTACCAAAATACGGGTTTGGTGGCGCACCAATCACCTTCAACTGTTTCAGCATTGTTTGCAAAGCCTGCTCAAGATCCTCATTGGTGTCAATGCCACTCCGCAGGACCTTGCGATGAACCATCCAGATGTAGATGCGGCGTCGCTTTGCTGCATCTCCCAGTAGCAAAGGGTCCACAACAACCTGACGGGATGCATCAAAAAAAAAGAGGGGAACATTTGCCCCCAAAGAGGGATATTCCATGTGTCACTGGAGTGCTGCAAGAGGGTAAGCAAAAATGCAAAAACTTCCTGCATGTGACAAGTGGCTTTGGCATAGAGGTACCCATAGGGTTTCAAGCGGCTGAAAGCTTGCTCTGCCTGCCAAGAACCATGAGAGTTCATTATGAAACCCGTTTTTCCTTTGGAACATGTTTTGTCTGCAAACATCTCACCAACCATGCCTTGTCCCAGATTCTCAACATCCCCACCACATTCTCCAGTAGGCTGATCAAAGGAGATGACCGTGCAATTTCAGCAAGGCAGCTAAAGAAAACACGCGCTTCTCTTTCTTGGAGGTACCGGCTTTGGTGATGAAGTTGGCTAAACCTTGGTGATGGTTGCCCCAAAACAGGCTTGTGGAAAACAAAGGGGTTACCCAGTTACCCAACCCCCCTTGGTGGAAACATGAATAGCCAAGAAACGGTTTGCAGCTGAATCCACAAGAGTATGCATTCTTGTGCTTTGCAACCTCCTTTGTGTCTCTCTCCTCCATGGACGTGAAGATCCTGGCTTCGTTTGTTTCCCATGGCAACCCACTTTAAACTCATAGCAAACAAAAGTCACAAAAATTATTTCAAAGCATTGTCTTGTAGTCTTGTAAATGCAAAGCATCATTCGAGGCTTCACATTGCAGAGGATGAACTTCAGTGGGCCCATTGCTCGGTCACACCTGGTTTCAAAGTCATAGCAAACAATCAGAAATCATGGAAATAAACAATAAAAGTCAGCAAAAAAGTAACAAAAGCTTGGATTAAAAAGGCAAGGATCGAAGATAAGAGGTGAACTTTGGATGGCATGAAACTGTGCAAGCCAAAGTATGCCCCTTCAGCGCCACTACAGTCTGATTGCAGGTAGATGGGGTGCATTTGGGCAACAAATCCTCCCAATCCTCCAGGGTGGTTTTGTCTAATGACTATCTTCTGGAATTTGGGCTCTAAAACCTTTTGGTGAACAAATAATATGAATACCATGGAACTTTTGGGCTCCAGGCTCCTGATTTCTGAAGCATGTCTTGGCCCCATCCTTGCAAATATCTGATTTGCTCAGGCATCCAGAGGACAGCATCCCTGTGGACATCAAACCTCAGATTTGGCCACGGAGAGTGTGGAAAAAAGGAAAGTGGTGCAGGTGGTGCGCTGGAACAAAGAAACAATTGAAAACTTTGGGTTGGGTCCTGTTGGTGCTGTAGAGATGCGTTCTCCTCTTGGCAATGTCCAACATGGACAATGAGAAGGACTCAGCATCACATGACGGAGTAGAGCTATCATAGGAATACTCGTCCAACTCATCATAGCTAGACTTCTTGCTACCAGATTCATCGCTTTCAAAGCAAGTTGTCGCAGATTCCTCATCTGAAGTAGAGGACTCCAGCTCCACACGGCCTTGGGTACATGAGTAGATTATGTCTGGTCTTGAAATAGTCTCAGGTGGGTCAAACTTGTTTTTATTGGATTCAACATTTTTGCCATCGGTATTCCAAGACACCACCTGTGCCATAAACTCTTGCAGGGCTCCGGCTTCGATTGGACATGGCAGGATCTTCAGATATCTTCTATTCTCTTGTTTTCTAGATCATTGATCATTCATGTTTCTTGGCTGGACATTTGAAGGATAATACCATATTAATTTCAAAACATCTGACAGCTTTGAACTCAATGGCTGCCAACTGAAGGCCAGGCCCAAGGTCCTGGTTCTATTTGGCTAAGGTCCTGGTTCAAAAGGTCCAGTTTTATTTATGTATATATATATATATAGAGAGCTTTCCTACAGAAACCGAGGCAGTCAAGAAACAAGGGAGCT